CCTGAGACGGTTGCATAATCCTGCAGAGAACAGGTGTGACAGAGCTATGTAAACTGGGGTCTGGGCACGAGTTGAGGTGACTAGGAGCAGAGGTATCCCTCAGGGAGGCACGGGAGACTTGGGAGCTTTTAGGGGGGAGACCCCAGTCCCTTGAGCGTGGAGGGGGAAGATGGCCAATGGAACGAAGACAACAGTGCGATGAGCAGGAGACAGCGGGATGGGGATGGATGAGTTCCTCCTCTCAGAGTTCAGGTGACTTGGCACGAGATGAGGAGACTCACCAAGCAGCCCTGGCCTGCACCAACATCCCTCAAGATCATGCGGCAGCCTTGGGAGCCTGGAGCAGGGCATTTGTCCCAGCAACCAGGAGTGGGGGACTGGTAAATATGGAACACTTCCCTGGGAAAACCAAGGTCTGTATTCTATCCCAGCAGATCTTAGGAGTCACCTAGGAAGAGAGGACAAGGGCACTGGGGGTAGAGGCTTCTACATGGGCAAAGTGGCTGGACCCAAAGTGAGAGGTGGGGGCAGGAAGAACAAACTGGGGGTGGAGGTGGAGGACCACCCTGGTGGGGAGAAAGAGGGGTCAGATGTGAGTGGTCACTGTGATGGCCCATGCAGCACAGGTCTACACTGAAACCGACAAGAAAGGCTCCTGTATTCATTCTGCAAACTGAATGGCAGCTGATGGCCGGGCTATTGCTCATGACAACCAGGCACCTGTGACTCAGGGAGTGGAGAGCAGATCGGCAGAGCTGAGACCAAACCTTAGGGGCAGTGGAGAGGAGACCCTGCCCACCCAGAGCCTCACGGTCCAGCCCTCTGGCCTCTTCCCCGGTCGGTTGTGCCTCTGTCCCAGGCCGAGAAGGCTCCAGAGGGAATTCAGATTGGGGTGTGAACATGTTGGCTTCTCTGGGTCAGGCGCTGCAGGGAGCTGGGCGCCTCCTCCAGGAGCGAGAGGCCCTGCCGGCACACGGGGTTTGTGTTGGCTTCTTCCACTCTGTGCTGCCCAGCCTCTCAGATTGCCATCTCCTCCCCTCACCACCCTTTGAGTCTTCACCAAACTCCTGGTGCCTCCCCCATCCGGTTAGGAATTCCTGGGCGGTAGAATGTGGAATGTGAACCAAGGCAGGGGAAGCTGCTTTGCCGTCACTTAATTGGTTTGGTCTTTTTTCTTTCTTTCTTTCTTTTTTTAGGATTTATCTTATTTTTATTGGAAACACAGATGTAGAGAGAAGAGACAGAAAGATTTTCTATCTGCTGGCTTACTCACCAAGTAGCCGCACCCAATCCGAAGCCAAGAACCAGAAGCTTCTTCCAGGTCTCCCACGCTGGTGCAGGGTCTCAAGGATTTGGGCCGTCCTTCACTGCTTTCCCAGGCCACAAGTAGGGAGCTGGATGGGTAGTGGAGCAGCTGGGATATGAACCAGCACCCATGTGAGATCCTGTTGCATGCAAGGCGAGGACTTTAGCCACTAGGCTACCATGCCAGGCCCCAACTGGTTTGATCTTTGGGAATAATCTTCTATCTTGATTAAAAATAAAGCTTCATAATGCTGGCACAGTAGCATATCAGGCTAATCCTCAGCCTGTGATGCCAGCACTCAATGTGGGCACTGGGTCTAGCCCTAGATGTTCTACACCTGGCAAAGCAGCAGAGGATGGACTAAGGCCTCCGGCCCCTGCACCCACACGGAGACCCAGAAGAAGCTCCTGGATCCCGGTTTTTGCCTGGCCCAACGCTGGCCATTGTGGCCATTAGTGAGTGAACTGGCAGAAGAAGCTCTCTGTATCTTCCTTTCTACTCTCTCAAGTTAAATCTTTTTTTAAAATGCTGCTGTTGGGCCCAGTGTGATAGACCAGTGGAAAGTTCTCACCTATAATGTGCCACGTTCCATTATGGGCACCGGTTCTAATCCCAGAGGCCCTGCTTCCCATCTAGCTCCCTGACGGTGGCCTGGGAAAGCAGTGGAGGATGACTCAAAGCTTTGGGATCCTGTACCTGGGCTCCTGGCTTTGGACTGGCACAGCTCTGGCCATTGTGGCTGCTTGGAAAGTGAATCAATGGACAGAAGATCTTCCTCTCTGTATATCTAACTTCCCAATAAAAACAAAATCAATCAAACAATAAAATGTTGCTGTTGTGTGGTTTAAGCTGCTTGCTTGCCAACGTCCCAGTGGAGTTCCTGCTTTTCCACTCATGATTCAGCTCCCTGCAAATGAACATGGCAACGCATCAGATCATGGGCCAAGTTCTTGGGGCTCTGCTTTGGCCTGGCCAAAGGGTGGCCATTTCAAGAGTGAACAAATGGGGCCCGGCAGCGTGGCCTAGCAGCTAAAGTCCTTGCCTTGAACGCGCCGGGATCCCATATGGGTGCTGGTTCTAATCCCGGCAGCTCCACTTCCCATCCAGCTCCCTGCTTGTGGCCTAGGAAAGCAGTCGAGGACAGCCCAAGGCTTTGGGACCCTGTAGCCACGAGGGATACCCAGAAGAAGTTCCTGGCTCCTGGCTTCGGAATGGCACAGCATTGGCTGTTGTAGTCACTTGGGGAGTGAATCATCAGATGGAAGATCTTCCTGTCTCTCCTCCTCTCTGTATATCTGACTTTGCAATAAAAATAAATAAATCTTAAAAAAAAAGAGGAACAAATGGATGGAAGATTGTGTCTGCCTTTCAAATAAGTAAATCTTCCAAGGAGATAATGCTATTGTGAAGATTAATGTACGTTAACATAACTATGAATCCTAGGAGGGTCCAGCGCAGCAGTCTAGTGGCTAAAGTCCTTGCCCTGCATGTGCCGGGATCCCATATGGGTACCAGTTCTAATCCTGGCAGATGGGTACCAGTTCTAATCCTGGCAACCCCACTTCCCTTCCAGCTCCCCGCTTGTAGCCTGGGAAAGCAATTGAGGACGGCCCAAAGCCTTGGAACCCTGCACCTGTGTGGGAGACCCAAGTTTCCTGGCTTCTGACTTTGCATTTGCTCAGCTCTGGCCATTGTGGCCACTTGGGGAGTGAACCATCAGACAGAAACCCTTCCTTTCTCCCTGCTTCTCCCTATGCATCTACATTTTCAATAAAAATAAATGTTAACAACAACAACAACAACAAAAAAACAGGAACAAAAGCTGCTTGGGTACAATGAGCTTTCAAAATCCCGTTATTCATTATACGCATTCCCTAGTTTTAGAAGACCTTTTGGCTGCATGAATTTCAACTTTTTTTTTTTTTTTGCATCAAAATAAATCTATTCTTTGCTCCAAGATTCGACGAACTTTTCTGAAGGACCATGGCAAATGCACAGCCTGACCAACAGCTGGCGAGTCTGGGAGGCCTGTGACTGCAGAGGCTGGGGTCCGTTTACAAGACTACCTCCAGCTCTCTCTGCACACAACAGATCCACACCAAGTCCCGGAGGGGCTGGAACTGAACAGGGTGCCAGCTTCATGCTGGGGACACAGCATGGCCAGAGGCTGCTGGGGAGGGCCCCCTCAGGACCACAGGTGAGGAGCCCAGGGACAGCGTCTTCTTTGCCCAAGTCTGACCTGTGGCAGTGGCTTCTGCGGGGCACTTCCTGCCCTTCCACTCCCTAGAGGTTAGCCCACCTGTCTCCCAGCCCCTGCCCTGGGATGCTCTCACCACACCCCTGCACAACACCCCTCCTTTTGACACCTGGGGGTCTCTTGGGCCCTTCCCTTTCTGCTGCCCCACCTCCACCCACTTGCAGCCTGCCATGTGGTGCAGCTTATCACTCATTAAGTTCCTGTCTAGGCAGCCATGTCCCTGCCCCACGCCGGGCCCCGAGGACCGCCAGCCTGAGTAAAGGCAGTGCTGTACAACTGCTACCGCGAAAAGGGCTGAAGCCCAACCAGGGAGCCCGACACTTGTGACAGAGAGCCAAGGGGAAGGGGTGGGACAGGGCAGGGTAGGGAGTAGTTACAGCTGGCCTGAGAACACACAGGACTCTCTAAGTTCAAGTCCTGGCTGCTGCATTTCTGCTTCCCATCCAGCTCCTTGCAAATGTGCCTGGAAAAGCAGCGGAGGATGGCCCAAGGGTTTGGGTCCCCATATGCACTTGGGAGATCCAGTGGAAGCTCCTGGCTTCGGCCTGGCAAAGCCCTAGCCATTGTGGAGTCATTTGTAGAGTGAAGCAATAGATAGATCTGTTTCCCTCTCTGTAAACCTGCTTTTCAAGTGAACAAAATCGATCTTTAAAAATAAAGATGGGGACTGGCGTGGTAGCCTAGTGGTTAAAATCCTCACTTTGCATGTGCCGGGATCCCATATGGGCACTGGTTTGCATGATGACTGCTCCACTTCTCATCCAGCTCCCTGCCTATGACTGGAAAGCAGTGGAGGATGACCCAAAGCCTTGGGACTCTGCACCTGTGTGGGAGACCCAGAAGATGCTCCTGGCTTCAGATTGCACTGAGCTCCTGAGCTCCTAGGACTTCACTTTGTCCCCTGTGGCGTGGAAGGCGGCACCTGGGACCCTCTCAGGAAGCCTCCCTCCCAGCTCAGTCTGAGCTCAGGGGACTTGCACAAACCTCCAGCACAGTGCATGAACTTGGGGTCTGCTCCTGGAGATGGGGCCCTAGCAGGACCCCAGACCCGCCACGTCTCTCTGGCTTTCACTGCACTGTGGTGGCTGAGGCAAACCAAGAGCTGGGCTCCCTCAGCTGGAATCTACTCACCATCCCGACAACTGCCTTGTGCCTCAGTTTCCACATCTGTAGAGTGGGGATGTAGCAGCCCACCAAGCTGCCATGGTGCCAGCTGAGCTCACACCCACATCACTGAATGCTGAGTGCCCACACACTGGTAAGTCTCCATCACAAGCCCTGCCCTCTGGCTGACACTGGCTTCCCCTCTCCTCCCTTCACCCCTTTCTTCCAGCACCAGCCCGACCTGAGCTCCCCCTGCCCTCTGGACCTTTTCCATGTGAACAAACCAGCTCATTACCCCAACCCCCAGCAAGTAAACATACACACACAAACTGGTCTGTCCGTATCACATTTTATTGTAAAAATGTTAAAATAAATTACACTCGACACATCGCCATCCACACACAGCGTGTGCTGCAAGGACAGCCAGCAGCAAACGTGCTTGTGGGAACCGATTCACAGAAAGGCCCGTCCATCCTGCCACCCTGCCGAAACCGATGGTGCCAGCACCGTCTTACATGGGGGAAGAGGTGCTGTCCTGGCCACATGTGTCCTGACCTGCCATCCAGTCACTGGGCTGCCCTTCCCTGCCTATGCTGACCTGCCAACATGTGCCCCTGCCCAGCCTCTGCATGGAGACTTGACTGAGGTCACCAAGAAGGGCCCATCTCAGCGTGTATGTTTTGGGGGCAGGGAGGGTGTGCACACAGGATGCTACTCTCTAACCCCTGGCTCTGAGACCAACGACATACGTCAAGGACAGAAAACCAGCAGTGCTCACTCAGAGTGGGCTGGGCCCCGGGGAACCAGCCTCGGGGAGCTCTGCCTACCCGTCAGCAGAAACAGGGTCCAGTGCAGCTTCACATTATCAACTGCTCCTTGCCGATTCCATTCCTGTGGTGCCACACATACACATGTGGGGGACCATCAGCAGCTGGAGAGGAGTTTGATTCACATATCGGGCCATTTCCCCACGTGTGAGCCAAAAGCGATTTGGCTTTGCCTTCTCTGGCTGGCAGGGCAGGTGAGACGAGAAGGAGGGGTGCTGGGAGGTCCTGCAGACCCCAGGAAGTTGGGGCGGAGGTTGCCGTATGTTCTTAGGCCAGGGCATACTGTGTGTTTCCCTGATGGGCTGAGGAGGGGACAGAAGTAGCTACAGCCAAGCCTCATTAGAGACCCCTCCCCACCTGCCAGACCTTCTGGCACTGCCCAGGCCCTCTGCCACCCCTTCCTCCCACCACTCCTAGGGCAGAGGCAGACAGTCATTACATTGCTAGGCCAGAGGGAGGTGAGAACAGGAAACAGGGTCTGAGTAACTCAGTAAGCAGGACCAGACCCTGGCCCTCCACCCCTGCACTAGACTCGGCTCAGGCCCTCTGCAGCAGGACCATCTTAGCACCTGCTCACCATCTTCTCACTCCTCCCTCACCCCAGCAGCCACTGGTGCAGACAGTCGGCGTGAGGGGTGAGACAGAACCCAGGGCAGAACTGTACCCCCCACTTGTACAATCGCCTGTGCCCTCCCTAGCTCTATGAAATGTCTAGCCTGGTGCCAGATACACATGGGTTATCTCCCTAAAACTGGTGAACTCAAAACCGTGTGACACCCAACCACACAAAGAGATATGGGCCTCCTCGGGTCAATCCCAACCATCGCATGGTATAGCTACTTCCTCACTATTGGGGCACCTGCCTTGGGTGGGCATGCACCATGCCTGGCCAGCAGCATTGAACTGGAGGAGCTGGAAAGTAAGAAAGGCCTCTGGCCCCCCACTCACAGTCCCAGATCTGCCCCCACTCCCCACCAGGGTTCTGGGGGGGGGTCCGAGCCATCACATTGGACACCCCAGGGTGAGGGGCGAAGGAACCTTCAAGGGTGGGGTGGGGAGCCGGCCCCGCCTCACGTGCCTTTGGGGCCGTTGGCCTTATTGTACTCATTGAGCAGCTGCTCATAAGGCACAGAGAGCTCAGACTCGGTGCTGGTGAAGGTAGACTCGTCCGATGAGGGGAACTCGGCCATGGCCAGGGGTGCCTCGGCCTCAGTGCCCTCTGGGGGCTGTTCCTCCACTGCCAGGTTATCCTCTAGCGAGGACTTGGAGGTCTCCTCGTCCGAGAGGCCAACTTCCTCGTGGACAAAGTCAATGTTGGCGGTCTGGAAGATGAGTGGGTGGTAGTCCTTGGCGTCCCACGGCTCGCCCTCTTCGCTGATGCGGTCTAGTTGGTTCGTGAGAGCCTCGGAGCCATCCTCCTCGGGCCTCTCCCCGGACTCCTCGCCAGGGGTCTTGGACACGTGGCCTTTGCTACGTAGAGTCTGGGATACCTCCTCCAAGCTGGGCACCCGGTTCTTAGAGTAGACTACTAGTGGCGCCAGGGACGCGGGCAGGGCTGGCAGCCCATCGGCTTGAGGCCCTTGGCCTGGGACCCTGTCACCAGGCCCACTCGCCTTCATGGCTTTCTTTCCAATCTGCTTGATGAGGTCGTTGTAAGTCTCCTCCTTTTTGGACAAGAAGCTGAAGATGTTGATGTCCTTGGATGCGCTGCTGCTGGCTACCTGCAGAGCTTTTCTGGAACGTGGAGAGCTATCGAAGGACTCCTTCCGCCGCCGCCGCCGCTTCTTAATGGCTTTGTGGACTTCCACAAACATGCTCACCTTCCAGTTGACGAACAGGGACAGCCAGGCCAGCCCCAGGTAGATCCAGAGCTCCACAAAGTAGCGGTAGAGGGCGTGGTAGTTGGCGCTGGGGTTCACACCTTAAGAGGACAGGACACCCAGAAGGTCAGCAAGGGTGATCAACTGGGACGATGCTTGTGGGGACAGGTGCAGGAGGGGGCCCTGTGGCCAGAACCCCGGATGGCCCCACTCTACACACCTGTGTTACTCCTGAAGGACCCTGGGCCATCACTCAGGTACTCAACCCAGCTGTGAGCCTGTGGATCGGGCAGTGGTGAATGAGGAGGGGTGCAGGAGGGGCCTCTTGGGGACGGGCCTTGAGTGGGTTGTTCTCCCACCCGATGGTTTTGTGTATGCCTTGGCCGAGGATGGAGAACCCATGAGATTGGGGATCCACTCGGAGGTTTGCTGTGGCGGAGGCCTGTGGCTGGACTGAGAAGCATTAACCCCGGTGGGAGACTAGGAGGTATTTCAGCAAGTTCATAAGGGAAAAAAATTGTACTGACAAGTTTCTTTTGTTCCCAAAACTTTGAAACCCATGCATCGTTGTCTCATAATGCACATTTTTTCCCCATGAATTTCTACACATTCTTTGAGAGGCAGAAACATCTGTTGCTGTCGCCTCCCCCTCCCCAAATGTCTGCAATAGCTGGGAATGCAATCCCCACCTGACGCTGGGAGCCCGGCTCCCCGAGCCTTCAATGCAGGCCCCCAAGACTGGCTCTGGCAGCTACTGCTTGGGTTGGTCTTTGAACCCAAGCAAGCTGGTGTGGCACATGGCAATGTTAACCAGCCTCTTTACTGCCAAGCCAAACGCCTGCCTCCCCGCCACCACCAACTTTTGGAAGGCCTCTCGTGTACAGATTGCACAATGTTCTTGCATCAAAACGACCTTATCTCTTGATTCCATTCCCCATGAACTTTGGGAAGCACTCTCCACTCCACCCCTCCAGGATGATGTATGAATTCTTTTTTGCCTTCACGATGACGGCTATCTCAAGCCTTTCTACTGAACAAGTAAGAAGGGACTAGAAACAAGGGGCAGCTAACTTCCTACATGAGGTTAGAGGTCACCTCAGGGCCAGAGCTGGTATCTCCCAACACACACACACAGGGGCTGGAGTGGGCCACTGTCCGTCTTGCTCCAGGATCTTATCACAAACCGCAGGTGACACCACGCGTGGCCAGCCTTCTGAGCACTTACTGGGGACTTCAAAGAGCCCATGATAAAATAGAATTTTTTTAAGATAAGTTCATTTTGGGGTAAAGCATTTTGAAATTCATGCACAGCCTTTTCATAACATACATTTTTTTTTTCCTTAAACTTTTTGAAGTCTCCCTCAGGGCATGGATTTCAAAATTTCTGTACAGACATAAACTAGTCTTTTGGTTCTGTTTTCTCCAAACCTTTTAAGTGCCCTTGCCTTTTATCTCCTACCATCCTGTGCGGCAGGGGCTGTTGTTTATGTACCGATTTCACAGATGACAAAATCAAGGCACAGGTCTCCTGACTTGCTGGAGCTGGGAGAATAGGGCTTTCCCAGCATAAAAACCTTCTCCTAGGCTGGAAGAGCTACATAAAGGCAGGGCCCTGCCTCTCCACTGATTTCCCAAGACAGGCTGGCCCAGATCTGGGAGTGGTCTTGGTCCCTCCCTTTGGCCCTCCCCTGGGAGGCCCCCTCCTAGCATTCCACAAACAGTAGGGGCAGAGGGACAGTGACCCTTCTCTGCCTTCTAGGCAAGGAGCCGGTGAGGGAGGGACCGGAGGCCTAGGAGGGGGCTCAGTCAAGAACAAAGGATTGGGTCAACATGGCCAGGCGAAGAGAACCAAGCCATTGTGCAGGGTGCAAGCACAGGCACACAAGTGCCCTTCAGTGGACTGCCCTGTACGGAGGAGAGGAGGAGGAGGAAGAGGAGGGGTGGGGCAGCTTGGGAGAAGGCCTTCCTTGTCTTTAAACTGCTTATGGCTTTCTGAGCACCTCCCCAGCAGTCCTGGTAAAAGAGGGAAGGCTGCTCAGAGACGGGAGCAAAGCTCCTGGCTTGCTCAGGGCTGTCTCAGTGGCAGGCAGAAACCCAGGGGGCAGAGGCCCTTTGCTCTGGGCCAATGTGCTCCGATTCCCAGCATGTCCTGCCCCCAGCACCGGGGAAGAACAGGGTGCAGTCATGAGGTCAGGAGGTTTCTGAAAGGAGGGCCAAAGTCACGGAAGGATGGGCTGAGAATCCCACTGGGCTAGGACAGTGCCCCAGGCCCCCCGAGTGCCTGCCAGGCTCCCCAGCCAAGGCTAATTGAACTGAAGCTGGAACTAAGAAGGTAGGCAGGGAACAGGGCAGGAACTCACCGGCCACGAAGTCGCCGAAGCCGATGGTGGAGATGGTGATGAAGGAATAGTAGAAGCCCTCGATATAGTCCCACTCCTCGGTCACCATGAACACGAAGGGCGGGATCACCAGGTGGACCAGGACACCCCACACGATGAAGATGGCTGTGCATGTGATTTGTGCCTTCCTCTGAGGAGCGGGCGGGGGGCAGAGTCAGCCAGCAGCCGAGGCTCACGGGGACACAGCAGCAGCTGGCGGAGGGCCCCAGCGCCCATCCACCCACCTTCCCTCCCATCCTCCCAGAACCCAAGGCTAGGGACAAACATACCAGGCTCACACCTCTCCTGGTGAGGAATTGGCCCAGCCTCTTGGCACGTCCTCCGAAGAACTTGCCCAGGGCACTGATCCATGTCAGGCAGAGGGGCACCCCGAAGAGACCGTAGAAGACACAGAAGAGGCGCCCGGCAGGGGTCTTAGGGGCCACGTTGCCATAACCTGAGGGGAGAGAGAGAGGCTAAAGGCAGAGCCCTCATACACACACACAGCACGTACACACGCACCAAGCCCCCGGGAGGCCCTGAAGCTCTCCCGATACTGATCTCCCACGAATGCTTGCTCACAGCCTAAGCATGACCATCCATGGAGCAGCCACAATGGCATACGCCAGTTTCCTCCATTAGCAGCAGGTCCCAACTTGCAAGTTTGTTCTCTTGCTCTGGGCAAGCTCTCTGCGCAGACACCGCAGGAGACCGCACAGCAGAAGGTGACCTTCTTTCCAAGGAAGGCTGACCTCCATACTTGCCCCGAGGTGGAGGCCCATTCTCCTGACTCGGAACCTGGGCTGGAGTGACCAGCTTGACCACAGAACGAGAGAGGTGTGACGCTGGGGAGGCTGAAGCCCGGGAAGCCTATGGTTTCTCCCCATTGAAATGCTCCTGTTGGAGGCTCCCCCACCCCCGTCCAGCCCATCCTGTGAAATGCTCAAGCCACATTCCTGGCTGGTCTTCTTCCCAGCACAGGGACAACATCAACCCTGGGATGGGTGGGAGGAGCCATGGCTTTAGGATGACTCCAGCTGCACTCATTATTTGACTGACAGCCCAAACAAGAACCCACCAGCCGAACCTGATTAATCCATGAATGGGGTATCATCCAGGTGTAAGCAGGACTGGGCATGTTCCATCTCCTGCCCAGCTCTGCCATCAGATGGTGGCCCCGGCTGGACAGTCACTCACAAGGATTTACTAAATCACCAGGAAGGTGTCAACAGCTGACTTACCAATGGTAGTGATGACCGTGGCAGCAAAAATCATTGCATTGGGCCAGTTCCAGTTGTTGAAAGTCTGGTTCCCTGTGATGGCCACACCCTGTCCCGAGGCATCAGAAACTACCTAAAGACAAGATTGACAGAGAAGGTCAGGGTGCAAGCCCCATTCCTGGATGCCCCGAGTGACAGCTTTGTCTTCAGCTCTTTTGTACAACAACGTTATCAGTGGGGCGTTTTATAGGGAACAGTGAGGTGAGGGTAAAGCGATTTGCCCAAGGTCAAGCAGCTGATAAGGAAAGGAACCCAGGCTCTCTGGTTCCAGAGTTCTCGCTTCCTTAGCTGGTGTTTCTCAGAGTCACTAGAGAGTGCCAGCATCATCTGGAGCTCTTGGGGGGTGGGGGGTCTGTGCCTGTCCGTACCCCCACCCCAACGGCATCTGACTCAGCAGTTTGGACACGCTCCCATGCCTGGGGAGCCATTGCCATTGGACCAGCTCTGCAAGGCAGCCCGTGTGACACAAACACTGGAACACACTGGAGACTGAACCCCATCCAGTCCTTCACTTGTGTGTTCTCCTGGCAGGGGCCCTGTGTGTGTTCAGAGTGGGCATGCTGTTTACCCAAGGTAGGAGTTCTGCTAAGGTCAGCTCAGCGTCCTCCTGCTCTGTCCTTTGAGTGTTGCCAATCAGCTGGGCCTCCTCCCTCTCAGGCTCCAGACTAACCAATCCACCATCAACTTGTATATAGCCTTTCCCTCCCCCTGGATCTTACTCTCACCGCCCTGGACTCAGCAAGTCGCCTGGACAGGGACAGATGTCAAGGGAGTGACCAGGTTTTGTACTCAGTCTTTGTGGAGCCCCCAGCAGCTATGGAGGGCAGTGGGCGGGGCCGGAGCATCCACTGAACAGCCTTGTCTCCTGGGGGACACTGAGAAACATCAAACCTGTTCCCTAGACTGGACCCTGCCTCCAGCCCCTACCGACCAATGGGTGGGATCGGTGGGGTGCTCTGGCTGCCGCCGCAGCCTACACCCAAGTCAACCCCCAAAAGTAGAGGCTTTAAATCTACCGTTCAAGTCCTATCCTCAGAAGCACCCCAGGACAGGCCACCCAGGAACTCCGCCAAAGGCCCTAAGAGTCAGACCAGGGAGTGAATCGAGAACTGACGGAAGGGAGAGAGGGAAGCAGGAAGCAACCAGGAAAACCGCATTTCCTCAGCTATACGTTGGCAGAGAAATACTGGGCAAATGGAGACTCTATGACGGACTATGTCAATCAGTGGATTCTTCAACGACCTCATCGTGCTTGGAATGGCAAGACTGGCAGCGATTCATAACTGGTGAACTATCAAAACCACTTGAGCAAGTATCTTGGAGCATGCCCCACATCCAGGACCTGCGGTGGGTGGGAAACTGGGTGGGGCTTCTCCCTCAACAACCCCCTTGATGTCAGATACATAAAGGAAACAATATGGAAAGAAAAATATGGTAAGACTATTATTTAATAGTCTTACCCACTTTCCTATAGCCCTTGAACATTTTTACCCTAATTAACTATGCAAAGATTGTCAAAAATATAATTAAAAAAAAAAAAGAAAGAAAATAAAAAAGAAAAGAAAACCACATTTCCAAGTGGCCTGAGGCAACACTGAGGTTTGGTGGGAGAAAGCGACGAGTGGCTTGCTAGGATGGAATGTACACTCCGCAGAGGCGGCAGCAGGCCCATGTAAGTGGATCCGCACACTCTAAAGAATTTTCCATGATGACATGCTTGTCTGACAAGCCATCAAACCACATGGCTCACTGCCCTGCCTCCTCGAGGCTTCCCAGGACCATTTCTGCAAGTTGCGCCGGCTGTGTGGCACCTAGGCAACATCCGGGCAACTAGTGTAGGAGGCTGTGGCCAAGGTGACCAGTCGACTGAGAGGCCAACAGAACTAGCAGATATTAGGGACCAGCCAAAAGGCTTTTGAAAAGACCTAAGTTGGTGCAGGAGAATGAGGAAGTGCTATGGCACTGTGAGTTAATGTTAAACAGATGGCAGAGGAAGCTGAACCACTCGACTCCCCTCTCGCTGCCTCTTTTGTTATCTCAACATCAACCTTCAATCGGAAATCCTCAAACAAGAGCACCTGTATGTAACCTACAAGGGAATTGCCAGCCGGCCCTCCCCCTCCACGTGGGGAAAAGCAAAGCTGTGAAAAGGCAAGCTGTCTCTACAGTGACAAAAAGGGATGAAGGCAGAGGCTAGGAAATCAGAAATCAACTGTCCCGCAGCTGTGGGGAAGTGCTATGTGGGGCGGCAATGGGGATGGGAGAGGGGCAGAATGTCCGGAACATTCAGAGGAGGGAGTGGTGGGCCCGGTGGCCGGAGTCACTGAGGGCATGTCCTGCTCGGGGAAGGGCAGCTCCCGGTCCATCAGGGCCCAGGACCGTGAAGTTCAGTGGAATGCAGCCCATCGAGATTGTAGCAGGGCAGCTAGCAGATGGACTTCAAGATACTTGTAGGGACAAGACATAGACACATGTGGGTGGAGCAGCACTGATTGTTAATCCACCCGGCCTGGGGACTGCATTAGGGTCTGTGTTCTCTGGGGTTGTGGCCAACGGCATGGTGATGACCCCGACATTGGACCCCTCTAGGTGTGCCTGGGATATAACCTTGCAAGCCATCACAGCATGGTAAAGGAGCTAACACACAAACAACAACAGCAGGGTGCAGGTGCAGCAAACTCCCCTGGATTCAACACGGGGGCCCTAATTTGGGGTAATTACCCAGAGCTCAGTCTCTAAATCTTCAACGCTTATGCTTTGCACTAGAAAACACCAGGAGAGGCTCCAGGGGGGAAAGTCCTTGGGATTTAGCCGGTTAGTGACCCAACAAACACTAGGGTAGCTGCCAGAGGGGAGAGCAAATAAGATCTCAGGTTGGCGTCACCACGTATCTACCCCGTGCTGGGAGGCAATCAGCCCATTGTTCTCCAGGGTTGGGCCACACGTGAGGCTCACTGTTTCATTCTGGGCGTTGTACTTCCCACGTACGGTAACCGACAGGCCCAGGGCCAGGAGGGGACAGGGGTGGCTTTTCCCGGTAACAGGCTATCTTAGAAGGGGCTGCTCTTGGTAGCAGCTGATTTCTGATCATGAAAAAAAAAAAATCCCCAGGACCAGGGATATGGACCACCATCCAGCAGGGGTGCCCTAGAACAAACGTTTTTAGCTGCAGGTGCCTGAGCCTTCTGCGGCAAACGCTGTGTGAAGGAGCGTGCTGTGTGCCAGGCTGAACCCTGCTGGCCCTGCCCATGGGCCTATTCCAGGGGAAGGTGAGGATATAGCTGGCACTAAGCGGGAAGGGGACCAGTGGGCACTGTAATTCACCAGATGGATGGACCCTCCCATAACACCAATACTGCTGTCCTGCCCAAGGGACTTATGATCTGAGAGTTGGTTTTTGAGTGCTAAGGAGATGGAAGAGCCTGCCTAACAGACCACCTGAGGCTGGGACATGGTGGGAGGGTAGGAAAGCTGGATTCCCACCCAACTGATGTGGGGAACAGCTCCACTCCTGCGTATTCCAACGGACAAGGAGCCACAGCCTCACACGCTTTCCCCATGACCTCCATCACCTCCGTGGCGGGCAGAGGCTTTCCAAAAGGCTCCTGGCTGCCCAAGGCAGGAAACAGCATAAACCCTGGCAGTAGCTGGAGGTCACAGAGCAGCAGCAGTGCGGACGCCCTGAGAACCTCTTCCTCCAACAACCGCTCTGTCCACTCCTGGAGCTCCCCTAGTGTCCCGAGCCCCACCCACACTGGGGGAAGGGGAGATTCTACCTGGACTGGTCAGCACGCCCTCCAGCAAGCATGAGCACACCTTTCACCTGGCTGCCAACTGCACAAAGAGGACAGGAGTGGGGCTTGGGGAGCCCAACCTGGGACTTGGGGGAGGCAGACAGTTGTCTGGCTCTGGCTGAGTGCCTCCCTGGTTCCCACATGGACTGCTTCAGAATGAGAGGTCTCGATCAGTCTCCCAGAATGGGGCGAGTTGAGCTGATCTCAGCAGAGGCCACAGTTGGGTTAGGTGGAGGGACGGTGGGAGCCAGTCCGGGACACCCTGTTAGACGGGGCGGTCCGTCCTCAGGGTTAGTGAACCAACCTGCGCGGGAGGAGGTGGCCCCTGTTCGCCTGTAGGATTCTTTAGCTTGGCTCCCAACTTCACACAAAACAATATTTTCTTTTTCCATCCCGGCCCTGTGAGTGATGGGAGAGGGAGCCTGCACATGGTCCTGAGCCAGCTCTTGTCTGGGGACAAAACCGAGTCTCCTGCCGCTGTCACTCTTCTCATACAGTGGCTGTGATTTATTGAGGGATCACCAGGCACCCTGTGTTGTGCTAAGCGGTTTACGAGCCTCCTGTTCATTTCATGAGGACAGGATCCTGCTGGGGAAGACAGCATTTTTTCTTTTTCCCCACTTTGCAAATGAGGTTTTTGAGAGGTAAAAGAAGTAGACCGAAGTCACAGTACTAAGAAGCCAGGACTAGAACCCGGGGCCCCTCCGGTCCTCACCACTGTTATCCATCCTCTTTCCTCACAAAGCCACAGGAAGGAGCTCAGTGCATACTTTCAGTCCTTCCCACCAGCTGAAAAAACAGTGCCCAAAACCTGTCCACTCTGAGCCAGCGCTCCAATGAGACGACAGCCACCGTGCCCAGAGATTCCCATCACCAGCTGTCCCCGTGCCCACTGGCCACACCTGCTGGGTTCCTAGACAGCCCTTCAGCCCAGGGTCTGGGGCCTCCCATGCACCTGCACAGGCCGGACACCCCCTGCTTTCATGTAGATCTGCATCTACATTCAGGGCTCTGGGACAGACATCCAACTTACAGACACAGGGGAGGTGGGGCTGAGGGAGCACTGACCCAGGGCAAGGGCTGAGCCTGCTACCCAGCACCCACAGAGCTCCTGCAGTGGCCACGGCTTCAGATCACAGAAGTCACATCCCGTTATGCAGACGCAGTCTTGGAATATCTTCCCACGGGGAAGTCAGCTTTCGCTGGACCCACATGATAAACTTCTCTCACCACCCTGGGCTGCACAGATCCTGAATTCACTCCGTGAAAGCTCACCTAG